TTTTGGAGTGAGTGCACCTCCTCATGAATCACACATGGTACCTCATCTTTAGGGCCCTGCTCAGACTTGAGTCTATTTAGATTTAGAAGCAAAGAGATGTGTTGGGGTAAGCCCTGAAGAGAATCAGCATTGTGTTGCAAGACATCTGCCTTAAGGGAAGCCATTAACTTCCTCAGACGATGCAGAGTTAATCCCTTTAGATGGGGGTAATGTGGCCACTGCAGCTTGTAAAGAAGACTCCTCAGAATTCAGGGCTCAATGTCCCCAGCTTCATCAATGTCTCCCCATACATCCCCATTTAAAGTTACAAGCTCCCATTTTTTCCCAATCAATGCCATGAATTGAGCAGTATTTATACTCCCTGCAAGGCTGGGAATTCAACTTGAGTTGTAAATCAGCCAATGAGAGTGTGCATTGGATTCTCAGCAGTCTCAGTCCTGCAACTGCAAGAAATAAGGGTGTTCTTCAGGGCACAGATAGGAGCTTTCAGGTCATGTAGTTGGTGCTTAAGCTGAGAATTCAAGTCCCTGTGCTCATCCTTTTCTTTAACCACTTTGTCTAGTGACATTAGGAGCAACCAGCCAACCTCATTATATTTATTAGTTTTCCAAAAATTTTCAGAAGTATCATATACACAGTCTCTCAGATCCTTGTTTCTTATAATTGTTTCATCAGGAGCATCCAAGGTAGATATTTTGTGTATGTCTATTGGCAGATCACATCATGAATTATTAATGCTCTCTTTACTGTTGGCAATAGAGTCATTAGCATCTTTAAGCCTAATCCAGTTAGGAAGCCAATTTTAAAAGCTCTAGAACTAACTTAGAAAATTTGGAAAAAAAAAAAAGACAAAAAAAAAATGTTTAAAAGGGCCGGCCCCGTGGCGCACTTGGGAGAGTGCAGTGCTTGGGTGCGCAGCGGCACTCCCGCCGCGGGTTCGGATCCTATATAGGGATGGCCGGTGCGCTCACTGGCTGAGCGTGGTGCGGGTGACACCAAGCCAAGGGTTGCGATCCCCTTACCGGTCACAAAAAAAAAAAAAGACAGACAAAAAAAGAAAATTTGTTCATAAAATTCTGTTCCTCTAGAATCACTCTCAGTACCAAACTCTGAATTAGTCTGGGTTCTCTGAGAAAGAGAACCAGCAGTTTCTGACACACACACACACACACAGTAATGCACCACATAGCAACATTATGGTCAATGATGGACCTCATGTCCGACAGTGGACCCATCAGATTGTGATGAATCTGGAGGTGGGGAGCAGGCTGTATCATCTAGGTTTGTGTAAATCTACTCTATGATGTTTGCACAACAACAAAACCACCTAATGATGCATTTCTCAGAACATATCCTGATTGTTGACATATGACTGTGTGTGTGTGTGTGTGTGTGTGTGTGTGTGTAGACAAAAAGAGAGAGAAAGAGAGAATTTTACTAGGAGGAGTTGGCTTGTGCTATTATGGGGGCTGATTTGTGTCTTATGATTTAAGAGCAAACTCCCCACTTCGTAATCCTTTTTATTGCAAGCCTGTACTATTACCTGCTATTATGTTTGTGAGCAA